ACATTAATAATCTTTGTAAAGAAAAGTACAAATTAATTATAGCCTATTGCAACTTGAACTAGCTACACAAATTTTCACCAAGTAGATAGATATATAGATAGTGCTGAATGGCTAATGCCCATTCAGAATGATAAAACTATTGCTGGAATAAATATTTGTTTGTTAGTGAAGTAGTTTAAGTTTTGTAATATATTAAATACTTTGATAAATGCTGAATTATTATTTTTTGTTAAGTTGTTATTATTATTAAGGGTGACATTTGGAGTATTGTCCAATTATTTTTGTTATATACTATAATTTGTTAAATATAATAATAAATTAAATTTATAAGAATTATAACTTTTTGATTTTTTAAAATTTTCTAAGGCAACCAATTTTATAATAAATTTTATAATAAATTTTATAATAATTAATTAATTATTGTTATTGTAATTTTGTTAAATCATTTAGATTAAATTGTTATTATATTAAACTTTTATATAAATAAATTAAATTTGTCAAATATTGTGTAATTATTGTTAAATTCTTATAAATTTTTAAATATCAAATGTATAAATTAAATCAACAAATAAAATTAAGACAATCATAATTATCCAGAATCCCTTAACAAGATATATTGTTTTAAAATTTCTTTTCAATATTAGTTAAGTGGTTATTGTAGACAAGCTAGCATTTAACTCATTGTACTCTTACATATAAGAGATGTTGTTTTTTTCACAATGTATATCTGACATTATACAATTAAAATAAAGAAATGATATTTATCTATTAAAAAAAAATAACTAAATAATATTATGACATATACTGTATTTTTTATTAATAATTTATATTAAACCAAATATAATATGACAATCAAATGACATGATTAGACTAGTGAAACATTTATGAAACTACTCAAAATAGTAGCTTAATGTTATTTTTTTAAATTTTCAATTATTTATTTTTGTATTTCAACAAAATATGTGTATAAATGTTCACAGAATATGCAAATGAATAAGATCAGATAATAATAATAATAAATATAATTTGTTAATAAACTATCCTGATCATTAATTCAGTCCATGCCAACCCTCTGTCTAAACATTATGCGAATGAGGTACCCACAATATACAGTATATTTATAATATGAATATACTCAATAAACAAACATTATATTTGGCAGGTAATTATATACTTTTTTATAACTTTTTTTTCGTTTTATATTTAACGTAAATTTGCTTTTGTTAATCAAGCTTCTCTACTTATTTACTCTCATCAGCATTAGATATTGGAATCGCGGATACAGTATCTAGTAGATACTGTAGTTGAATGCGCAAATAGTGTATCATGTAATATTAATTGATCAATTATATGAACTGACTCGACTGGATTATATAACAAGTCAGTGTCGCCTAATTGGAATCCAAAATAGCGACGAACTCTCCGTTCAACGTTAATATTAACCGGTAAGAAAGAGACAATTTTTATGGGAAATAATTCGACACTTAACTACAAAATACAGTATAATTGTTCTTTACGGTATTGTATTACGAAGCCGTTCAATGGGTTGACTGATTAGGAATTTGTCAGTAAATTCTATAAAACACCTAATTTATACAAATTTTCTCGGACATAAAAGTTTTTAATACAGTACAGTGCAGTATTTCGGTAATTACTGTATTATCAATGAAATAATGACGACGCTTCGCTAAATTAATATATTGACTTGAGTGAACCAGATATTTAAGTATTTCTATCATAAATACTGTAGCCTGAATTTGACTTCAAGTCAAATCAAAGATTCTATTTGACAGAAGAATTAACATGAAAAATGGTGCACATTTACAACGACATATTATCAATCATAGTGGTCGTTATCATTATCTACATTTCACATTTTTATTATAAATACATTACTCGCGAAAATCCCCTCCCTGGCCCATTACCTCTTCCCTTAATTGGTAATCTTTTTCTATTCCGTCATGACATTAGTGAGTTTCCGGCCCTACTTCAAGAAAAGTACGGAGATTTTTTTGAGACTTATATAGGCCCCAGAAGAGTTGTCTGGCTCTGTAAAGAAGAATCGTTTAAAAAATTGTTGACCTCATTGAACCACTTTAATCAAGTGACTACATATAATGAAGGTCTTAGTGAAGTTGGGTTATCAAACACTGGATTAATCCATAACTTGGATTATAAATCTTGGGAATTCTATCGAAGGTTTTATGCGAGATCTTTATTAAAACCTTCGTTTAATATTCAATCCGTGGATCGTATTCAGGAGGTATTTAGAGAGATGGAAAGTTATTGGGAACAACTCGAAGAATATACCGTGCTAGAATTTCACCGTTGGACAAAAAGATTTTTTATGGATACCATATTCCTTATAGCTTCTAATAAACCCGCACATTCATTAGCTAGCTACTATAACATGGTTTCGACCGATAAAAAAGCCCATATACCAGAAAACAGCCTAAAGGAAAGCGACACTTTTATAGAGGCCATTGATGGATACCTTACAAGCCTCATATACTTTCTAATGCTTCCAAAGTACATTAGGGAATTTCCAGGCCTTAAAGGATACACGAATGGCTTAAAGAAAAAGATGAACTGGTTAAGGAATAACGTTCAAAGTATTATTAAGGAGAGAAGAGGGGAAATTGAAAGAACACCCGAAGACCAGGAGTTAGCACATGATATATTAACAATGTTTTTAACGTTCAATACTCCGCGTGATATTACCGAAAAAATTGCAGATAGTTTGGACGACAGGCCTATGACTGATGAGGAAATTTGCGAAAACTTTATAGAGATTTTTACAGGTGGAATCGACACGGTAAATATCAATTTGTCATTATTTCCATGGTTTAAATAAAAGGTTCCTATAATAATTTATCTTTGTAAAATTTAGTCGTCGAATTCTATCTGCTATATAATTTATTATCTGTCACATTATCCAAAAGTTAAAGAAAAATTTATAGAAGAGCTCGATCGGGTTATTGGAAAAGATCAAAGTCGTAAGATTTCCAATGAAGACATAAGAAAACTTGAATATTGCGAAGCTGTAATTAATGAATGTATGTGCTTTAAAACTTTTTTTATTGAGACATGCCAGGGATTAATGTAATCTATACTTGTTCTAAATACATATATATACATTATTTTAGGCTCGCGAATATTTTCAACTGTTCCTAGTGTGGGTAAAAGAAACGCAAAATCCGAAAAAGTTGGTGGTATGACATTTTCGGAAAAAACGTTATTTTTTGTTTATTTTCAAGGAATCCACAAACACAAATCTCTATGGAGGGACCCTAAAGAGTTTGATCCAGAAAGGTTCATGGGAAAAAACAAGGAAGAAAGCAAAAAACATCTCTATACTTTTGGTTTTGGATTGAGAACGTGTAAGTTATTTTATATTATTGACAGAAATGCTACGGGTGTAATTTATTTTGGATATACAGTTGAGAGCAAATTTTTTTCAATAGGTCCCGGGAGAAACTTTGGAATGCTACAGTTAAAACTTACTCTAGTACTATTATACAGGAAGTATGATGTCGAACTAGTTGATATGAATGCACCGATAAAGTTTCATACCGCAGTAGTCAGGATTTGCGATGAACTAAAAGTTCGAATTAAGAAACGAAAAATTTAACTAAACAATGATTTCACCTGATAACCTGATACCATGTTAAATAAATAATTTATTGGAAACCTGCACTGATTTTTTTTTTCTCTTAATGATTTGCTATTATTTTCTATATTCAGGCGTTAATTTTAGTTTTATATAAAAAATATTTAAAAAGCGCAAAACCATTAGACTTTTATTTAATAATGAGAAAATTTTGATTCTAATACTGTTGTCAATTATATACTCATTGGTTTTTACTAAAGGACTTAGGAAAAGTCTTTCACAGCATAATCCAGAAAGGAAAACATATGAAGAAACTATTTAATCTTATAAAGAAGATAGCATCTTTTCATTAAGCTATCCAATCAATTGCTATTCTAGTTAAAAATAGATTAGACTATATAAATCCATTGCCAAGAACAAACTATTGTTAAAATCTAGTTATGTTTATTATATGTCAAAATGAGCAAATTCAAGAAAAATTGTGTGAGTTATTATTATATAAAAAGTTTATCAGATTCTGTATGATAATATATGTTGACGTTTATATTTTAAGCAAGTTATTATCAAAGTTATTATTTGCCTTCTCAAATTAAAAAACCTATGTACTACATCAAGAAATTTTTTAAAATAAAAAACTCTGGAAATTTTTATTTCAAAAAAATTTTAAAATCTTTGAAGTAATAATAATTATATTAAAATAAATAAATATTTAATAAATATTTATTACTTTTACCAAATCTTGGAATTATATGAATTAAATTATCTATTGCTCTTATATCTACTAGATTATATATATCCGTTAATTTAAGATATGTGCAATCATATATGTATGGTGATTTTTTCGATTTAAAATCATACCATTGTACTAATACTAATTGAAGTGGAGGTCTCTGAATTGTTCTGCTTATTTTTATTATTAATAAAACCTAAAAAATTATATTAGTATTAATATAAAATAATATTTATATTTTAAATAATTATAATTACCTTTCCGTAACAGATTCCAT